CAATTGATGCAGAAAAGGCCTTTTACAAAATTCAACAGCCCTTTATGCTAAAAACCTTCAATAAACTAGGTATTGACGGAATGTACCTCAAAATAATAAAAGCTATTTATGACAAACCAACAGCCAATATCATACTGAATGGGCAGAAACTGGAAGCATTCCCTTTGAAATCTAGCACTAGACAAGAATGCCCTCTCTCACCACTCCTATTAGATATAGCACTGGAAGTTCTAGCCAGAGCAATCAGGCAAGAAAAAGAAATAAAGGGTATTCAAGTAGGAAAGAAGGAAGTCAAATTGTCTCTATTTGCAGATGACATGAATGTATATCTAGAAGACTCCATGGTCTCAGCCCAAAATCTTCTGAAACTGATAAGCAACTTCAACAAAGTCTCAGGATACAAAATCAATGTGTAAAAATCACAAGCATTCCTCTACACCAATAACAAACTTAAAGAGAGCCAAATCAAGAACGAACTGCCATTCACAATTGCTACAAAAAGAATAAAAGACCTAGGAATATAACTAACAAGGAACGTAAAGGACCTCTTCAAGGAGAGCTACAAACCACAGCTCAACGAAATAAGAGAGGATACAAACAGATGGAGAAACATTCCACGTTCATGGCTAGGAAGAAGCAATATTGTGAAAATGGCCATACTGTCCAAAGTAATTTACAGATTCAATGCTACCCCCATCAAGCTACCAATGACCTTCTTCACAGAACTGGAAAAAAACACCTTAAACTTCATATGGAACCAAAAGAGAGCCCGCATAGCCAAGTCAATACTAAGCAGAAAGAACAAAGCGGGAGGCATCACACTTCCGGACTTCAAACAATACTACAAGGCTACAGTAATCAAAACAGCATGGTACTGGTACCAAAATAGAGTTATAGACCAACGGAACAGAACAGAGGCCTCGGAGGCAACACAGCACATCTACAACCATCTGATCTTTGACAAACCTCACAAAAACAAGGAAGGGGGAAAGGGTTCCCTGTTTAATAAATGGTGTTGGGAAAACTGGCTAGCCATATGCAGAAAGCAGAAACTGGACCCCTTCCTGACACCTTACACTAAAATTAACTCCAGAAGGATTAAAGACTTAAACAGAAGACCTAACACCATAAAAACCCTAGAAGAAAATCTAGGCAAAACTATTCAGGACATAGACGTAGGCAAGGACTTCATGACCAAAACACCAAAAGCACTGACAACAAAAGCCAAAATAGACAAATGGGACCTAATTAAACTCCACAGCTTCTGCACAGCAAAAGAAAATGTCATTAAAGTTAATCGGCAACCAACAGAATGGGAAAAAATTTTTGCAGTCTACCAGTCTGACAAAGGGCTGATATCCAGAATCTATAAAGAACTAAAACTGATTTACAAAAAAAACCAAAAACCAAAAAACAAAAAACAAGCCCATTTAAAAGTGGGAGAAGGATATGAAAAGGCACTTTACAAAAGAAGACATATGAGGCCAATAAACATATGAAAATATTCTCATCATCACTGGTCATTAGAGAAATGAAAATTAAAACTACACTGAGATACAATCTCACACCAGTTAGAATGGCGATCATTAAAAAATCTGGAGACAACAGATGCTGGAGAGGATGTGGAGAAATAGGAACACTTTTACACTGTTGTTGGGAATGTAAATTAATTCAACCATTGAGGGAGACAGTGTGGCACTCCCACAAGGACCTAGAAATAGAAATTCCATTTACCCAGCAATGCCATTACTGGTTATATATCCAAAGATTATAAATTTTTCTACTATATGGAGACATGCACAAGAATCTTCATTGTAGCACAGTTTACAATAGTAAAGACCTGGAACCAACCTAAATGCCCATCGATGATAGACTGGACAGGAAAAATGTGGCACATATACACCATGGAATATTATGCAGCCATCAAAAACAATGAGTTCGTGTCCTTTGTAGGGACATGGATGAACCTGGTAACCATCATTCTCAGCAAACTGACACAAGAACAGAAAATGAAACACAGTATGTTCTCATAGGTGGGTGTTGAACAGTGAGAACACATGTGCACAGGGAGTGGAGCATCACACACTGGGGTGTGTTGGGGGGAAATAGGGGAGGGACAGCAGGGGGTGGGGAGAGATAGCATGGGGGGAAATGCCAGATATAGGTGATGGAAAGGAAGGCAGCAAATCACACTGTCATGTGTGTACCTATCCAACAATCTTGCATGTCCTTCACATGTTCCCCAAAACCTAAAATGCGATTTAAGAAAATAAAAGGAAAAGAGAATCCTCAATAAAACAGTAACAAATTGAATCTATTGGCACAGTAAAAGAATAATACACCATGGAGAAGTAGGATTGATTTCTAGGATGCAATAATGATTCAACATATCAAGATCAACTAATGTAATATGCAACATGTGGTGACTATTTCATCAAGTCTCTGCTCAGGTGCCAGCTGTGATGAGTATTACATTGGGTTCACCACCTGAGACCTGGATCACATCAGGGTCACCACCTGAGATGCTGATCACCAAATGCAGAGGTCTGTCCTGCAGACCCTGACTCAACAACAGATGAAAGAATGCACTTTCACACCCAGCCCAGTGATTTTGAGTGGTCTAGGGATGGTCAAAAACTGCTTTCAGAGGGTGATTGCAGCTAATCAAGCATAACTCCCTGTACCTTCTCAGATTTATGCAGTATAGATTTAATAATAGAGGTTCTAAGTCAAAATGCTTGTGGATAATTAACATGGTTAAAAAAGTGGTTTATGAATGATAAAAGCTTTTGTTTCTGGGGCCTAGAGTAAACACCATTAATGGGTAATGACCTCCTCCTCTTTGACCTCCCCCTGAGAGGGCTATCCAGCACAAAGTTTGTATGAGTAAACAGAGTAGAGAGAAACACCTGTGGGGTAAACAGACTTAATTGGGGAAGCTTTATTGTCCCTATCTTTTACTCTATGACTTAAAATTCTAATGTAGTAAACTGGCTGCCTTCAGCCCGTTTCAATAAAATCTTTTGGCCTTCTAAAAGGTTGGAGACTATACTCTTATCAGTTTCCTAATATTTTCCTAATATTTTTCCAGCCACCTTGAGTGAATTCCAACAGGCACATTACAGAATAAATGTTAAAAACCACGTGATCATGTCAATAGATTAAAAAAACTTTTGAAAAAATTCAACATGATTTTATGATAGAAACTCTAAACAAAATAGAAATAGAAAGAAATTACTTTATCATAATACAGACAATATATTTAAAGCCTGTAGTTAACGTCATATTCAATGATGAAAAACTGAAATTTCTCCTCTAAGATCAGGAACAAGACAAGGATTTCCACTCTCACCTATTCTATTCAACCTACTACTGAAAGTCCTTGCCAGAGCAATCCAGCAATAAAAACAAATAGAATCCATCCAAATAAGAAAGGAAGAGATAAAATTATCCTCACTGATGACATAAACTTATATTCAAAATACTTTAAAGACTCTACAGACAGACTATTTGGACTAATAAACAAGTTAAATCAAGTTGCAGGACAAAAAATCAACATACAAAAGCCACTTGTGTTTCTACACAATACTGACAAACCATCTGACAAGAAATTAAGAGAACAATCCCATTTATAATAGTACTGAACATAATAAAATATTTAAGAATGAAATAAATAAGAAGGTGAAAGTCTTCTTTACTAAAAACTACGAAATATTGATGAAAAATTGAAGAGGATACAAACAGAAAGATATCAATGTTTATGGATTGGAAGACTTAATTTTTAAATGTCCATACTACCCACAGAGATCTACAGATTCAACGTCACTTCTATCAAAATTCTAATAGTATTTTTTACAGAAATAAAAAACAGTTCCATGATTTATACGTAACTACAAAAGACTATAAATAGCAAAAATCAATCTTGAGAAAGAACAACTCTATTCTTTTGAAAATCATTTCTTATTTTAATTTCTGTGATGTTATATTCTCTTTGCTTTTTTCCTACCTTCACATAGGTAGTGGGATATTTTCCTGGCTTAAACTCTGGCCTTCTTTAGGGCACTCATTTGGGTTCACATATCCCTTCACCATCTCTCTTGAGCTAATGCTCTGTAGCTCCATTGTTTTAAATTTCATTCATATTCAAAGCTTAAAAGTATATATCTTCAAGATTGACCTTTACCCTGAGTTTCAGATTTGTATATCTAAATTCCCACACATTGTCCTAATATAGTTTTTACACAGATATGTCAAACACAAATTTGACCAATTTAAAACTCTTAAGTCTTACCCTGAAACCTCTTCCTTGCAGTATTATGTATCACAGTAAAAATAATATTCACCAATTTTCTCAAATAAACAAACAAACAAAAAATGTGGTCCTTGAATACTCTCTTCCTCATCTTCCACATCCAGCCCATTAGAAGTTCCTGTCAATTCTACCTCCAAATATAGAGTCCAAAGAGAAAGAAATAAAGGACATCATAATTGGAAAAGAAGACATCATATAATCCTAGCTTACAGATAATATGATCTTAAGTTTTTTATTAGTTAGTTATTTAATTCCACATGAACATTATTAATGCATTTTTAATTTTACCATCTACATCAATTGTTAAATTTATTAAAAATTTGTTACAAGGTACAGGATAACTTAGGGAGTCTACCTAATAGATTATTCAAGATGGTTTTCTGTTTGTTTCTCTGTTTTTGTTTTATGTCTTTTAAATTTTTTAAATCATTTTTGTATTTCGATAGGTTTTTGAGATACAGGTGATATTTGGCAACATGAAAAAGCTGTTTAGTGATGATTTCTGAAATTTTGATGGACCCATCACCCAAGCAGTGTACACTGTATCCAATGTGCAGTCTTTTACACCTCATCACCCTCCTACCCTTTCTCTGGAGTCCTTAAAGTCCATTGTATTTTTTTTTTTTTTTTTTTTTACCATTTAACTTGTTTTAATGTTTCTTCACACTTGGTGAAAAATACTAAAGTACAGACAAGGAATAATCATAATGTTGTGGCCAACATTATAAATATGGAATTATAAATTTAAAACATTTTCTGGTTTAAAAAATAAATCTGGTAGTCAATGCAGCTCTGTGGGGTCTCTGCATCTAATAGGGCCAATCTCTGCGCTCCTGACGGTGCTCACCTTTATCCATTATTCCAGGTCCTCCACGTCCTCCTCTTCTTCCTCCCATCTGTTCCATCAAAGGTCCAGGGGGCCCCCCAGGGCCACCTCCTCCTCCTCCACCAGAGCCACATTGGTCCATGCCCCGGCCACCACGGAAGCCACCTCTGTCTCCACCACGGCCACCTCTGAACATTCCACCAGGACCACCACAATCCATGAGGCCACCTCTTCCTCCCCACATGCCACCAGGGCCACCTCTGCCACGATCACCACCTGGGGGCGAGAAGGGTGGTGGGAGGAAGCCTTCGGGCTTTGGGGCCTTACACTGGTTGCACTCTGTTCTCCAGGCAAAGTTCTGATTTCCACAACCCGGATTGGGACACTGCCAGTCTCCAGCTTGGTGCTGGACGTTTCCTCCTCTGGAGGGGTTCCCTCGGGAACTCCGGGGTCCTCTGGGAAGGCAGCCTCCTCTATCTCCTCCGCGGCCTCCCATGCGACCCATGGGTCCCCCAGGACCTCCTGGGCCTCCTGGACCTCCACGGAATGGTGGTGGCAGCCCTCTGCTCTCACGGGGTGGCATACCACCCCTCATACTGTCCATTGGAGGCTTCTTCTGAGGAAGAGAGACTTTAAGTTTGCTCTCTTGAAAGCCTTTACCGTCAAACCACCCCACAGCAGCCTTGGCAGTAGGTGGGTCTTCATAGGATACTGTGGCATCTCCTTTAGGCTTTCTTGTTTCCTTGTCCAGGTAGATGTGGATCATGGGTTGCCCAGTTCTCTTGTTCATCTTAACAAATCCACACTGCTTAAACAAGTCTGCCAGATCATCTAGAGTCACATTATCATTTAATCCTTGCACATAAATTGCACTGTTGTCAGAATCTTCATCTGGATCTACAGGTGGGCCTAGATCAAGATCTGGTCCTTCGTCCATGGGTCCACCAGGCTTATTGAAGCCACCTCGCTCTCCAGCACTGCCCATTCCACCGTGTCCTCCTCCCCGCCCACCTCTGCTCATGCCTCCACGATCAAATCCCCCTCTTCCCCTGCCCTGGTTATCAGGGCCACTCATGCTCCGGTTCTCTCCTGGTCTGGAAAATCCTCCAGACTCCTGCCCATAAACACCCATGCTACTGGGGTGGTCCTGTCGGAATGAACTCTGCTACCCGTAGCTGCTGCTCTCTTGGCTATATTGACTTGAAGCCTGGCTGTAGGATCCAGTTTGGGGTGGGTAACTAGTGGGAGGCTGCTGTCCATAGCTGCTTGGTTGCCCATAGGTGTTCTGCTGAGAGTAACTGCTTTGATCATAACTAGTCGGCCGTGTAGAGGAATAGCTGGTAGGAGGGTAGGGTGGAGGTGCAGTGACTGGCTGCATAGGGTAGCTCCCAGGTACCTGGGGATAACTGTAGTTACTCTGTCCATATCCTAGGCTGGGCTGGTTGTAACCTCCTGTGCTAGATTGAGGTTGACTAGTCTCAGTGGGCTTGTTACCATCCTGTGGTCTTGTAGGTGCAGTGGCTGCTGGCTGCTGCCCACAGGCTGGATAAGCAGGCTGAGTGCCATACGCAGACTGAGCTGCGTAGGAGGCCTGGGTGGTAGTGACTGTGGCAGTGGTGGTATCATAAGCACCAGTGCCATACACCTGGACAGGCTGGTTGTATGCCAGGGACAGTTGGAGTAGTATAACCAGTGGGAGGCTGTCCATAAGAAGTTGCATAGGCGGTCTGCCCGTAAGTTGCAGTGGTCTGAGCCTGGGTATGGCTAACATCAGTGGGCTGTCCATAGGTTCCATAGCTTTGTTGTCCATATGCCTGGGTGGTCTGTGCATATCCTTGAGTGGGCTGGGCGGTGTAAGCATTGTAGCCCTGCTGCACTGCAGCTTGGCTATAGGTACTGTAATCTGTGGACCCCATTTTCTCTCCTTCCTCCTTGTTCTCTCAAAGTTCGTCTCCCTCTCCCATTGTATCATTCTTAATGCCTTTACATCCTCATAGCTTAGTTTCCACTTACGAGTAAGAACATATGACGTTTAGTTTTTCATTCCTGAGTTACTTCACCTAGAATAATAGTCTCTAAATCCGTCTAGGTTGCTGCAAATACCATTATTTTATTCGTTTTTATGGCTGAGTAGTATTTTATATATATATATATATATATATATATATATATATATGGCACATACATATACAGATATAATTTTCTTTATCACTCATTGATTGATGGGTGTTTGGGCTTGTTCTAAATTTTTGCAGTTGTGAGTTGTGCTACTGTAAGCATGCATGTGCAAGTATCTTTTTTATATGATGACTTTTTTTTACTCTGGGTAAGTACCCAAGAATGATGTTACTTTTAGTTCTTTAAGGAGTCTTCACATTCGTTTCCATAGTGGTTGTACTAGTTTACATTCCCAACAGTGTTCCTGTTTCACCACATCTACAACATCTATTATTTTTAATTTTTTTTTATTATGGCCATTCTTGTGGGAGCAAGGTGTTATAGTGTTGTGGTTTTTATTTGCATTTCCCTGATTATTAGTGATGCTGAGCATTGTTTCATATGTTTCTTGGCCATTTGTAAATTTTCTTTTGAGAATTGTCTATTTATATTCTTAATCCATATTTTTATGGAATTGTTTGTTTGGTTTTTTCTTGCTAACTTGTTTGAGTTCTATGAAGAATCTGGATATTAGTCTTCTGATGGATATCTAGATTGTGAAGATTATCTCACACTCTGTGGTTTGTCTGTTTATTCTACTGATTATGTCTTTTGCTGTGCAAAAGCTTTTTCATTTAATTAAGTCCCATCTATTCATCTTTGTTTCTGCTGCATTTGCTTTTGTGTTCTTGGTCATAAAGTCTTTGCCTATACCAGTGTCTAGAAGGGATTTTCTAATGTTATCTTGTCGAATTTTTATGGTTTTAGAATTAAGTCTTTGATCCATTTTGAGTTGATTTTTGTATAAGGTGAGAGATGAGGATCCACTTTTTTTCTTCTACATGTGACTTGTCAATTATCCCAGCACTATTTGTTGAATAGGGTGTCCTTTCCTGACTTTATTGTTGTTGCTTTGTCAAAGACCAGTTGACAGTGTTTGATTTATATCTGGGTACTCTATTCTGTTCCATTAGTCTATGTACCTGTTTTTATACCAGTACCATGCTGTTTTGGTGGCTATGACCTTATGGTATAGTTTGAAATCAGGTAATGTGATGACTCCACATTTGTTCTTTCTGCTTCATCTTGCTTTGGCTATGCAGGCTCTTTTATGGTTCCATTTAAATTTTAGAATTTTTTTCCTATATCTCTAAAAAATGATGGTTGTATTTTGATAGAAATTGTATTAGGTTGGTTGATTGCTTTTTGCAGTATAGTCATTTTCACAATATTGATTTTACCCATCCATGAACATGGGATGTGTTTTCAGTTATTTGTGTCATCTGTGGCTTCTTTTAGCAGTGTTGTGTAGTTTTCGTTGTATAGATTTTTTTGTCTCCTTGGTTAAGTGTATTTCTAAGCATTTAAAAATTTTTTTGGCAGCTATTGTAAAAGGGATTGAGTAATTTATTTGATTCTCAGCTAAGTCACTCATTCTGTATAATGGAACTATTGATTTGTGAACACTAATTTTGTATTCTAAAACTTTGCTGAATTTATTTATCAGTTCTCGGAACTTTCTGGAGGAGTCTTTAGGGTTTTTTAGGGAAACGGTAATGTCATCAGAAAACAGCAACAGTTTGAATTCCTCTTTACTGATTTGGATGCCCTTTATTTATTTCTCTTGTCTAATTACTCTTGTTAGGACTTCCAATATTTTGTTGAATAGAAGTGGTGAACATGGACATCCTTGTCTCGTTCCAGTTCTCAGGGGAAATATTTTCAACTTTTCCCCAGTTAGTAGAATGTTGAATGTGGGTTTGTCATACATGGCTTTTATTACATTAAGATATGTCCTGTTGATGCCAATTTTGCTGAAGGTTTTAATCATAAAGGAATGCTGGATTTTGTCAAATGCTTTTTCTGCATCTATTGATATAGTCAAATGACTTTTGTTTTTAATTCTATGTGGTTTATTACATTTGTTGACTTGCATATGTTAAGCTATCTCTGCATCTCTGGTATGAAACCAACTTGATCATGGTAGATTATCTTTTTGATATGCTGTTGGATTTGGTTAGCTAGTTTTTTTTTTTTTTTTTTTTTTTTTGAGGATACTTGCATCTATGTTCAGCAAGGATATTCATCTGTAGTTTTCTTTTTTTGTTATGTCCTTTCCTGGTTTTGATATTAGGGTGATATTCGCTTCATAGAATAATTTAGAGAGGATTCTCTCTTTCTCCATCTTGTGGAATAGAGTCAAAAGAATTGGTACCAATTCTTCTCTGAATGTCTGATAGAATTCAGCTGTGAATCCATCTGGTTCTGTTTTTGTTGTTGTTGTTCGCATTTTTTTTTTAATTACCATTTCAATCTCGCTGCTTGATATTGGTCTTTTCAGAGTTTTTCTTTCTGGTTTAAACTAGGAGGGTTGTGTATTTCCAAGAATGTATTTATCTCCTCTAGGTTTTCTAGTTTATGCACGTAAAGGTATTCATAGTAGCCATGAATGATCTTTTGTATTTCTGTGTTATCTGTTGTAATATCTCCTGTTGCATTTCTAATTGAGCTTATTTGGATTTTTTTTTTAGTTTAATTATTTTATTTTATTTTTTATTGCATTTTAGGTTTGGGGGTACATGTGAAGAACATACAAGATTGTTGCATAGGTACACACATGGCAGTGTGATTTGCTGCCTTCCTCCCCATCACCTATATCTGGCATTTCTCCCCATGCTATCTATCCCCAACTCCCCACCCCCATCTCTCCCCCATTTCCCCCCAACAGATCCAAGTGTGTAGTGCTCCCCTCCCTGTGTCCATGTGTTCTCATTGTTCAACACTCACCTATGAGTGAGAACATGCGGTGTTTGATTTTCTGCTCTTGTGTCAGTTTGCTGAGAATGATGGTTTCCAGGTTCATCCATGTCCCTACAAAGGACACGAACTCATCGTTTTTGATGGTTGCATAATATTCCATGGTGTATATGTGCCACATTTTCCCTGTCCAGTCTATCATTGATAGGCATTTTGGTTGGTTCCAGGTCTTTGCTAATGTAAACAGTGCTGCAATGGGATTTTATTTATTTATTTTTTTAGGAGACAGCATTTTATCATATAGGTCAGGCTGGTCTTGAACTCCTGACCTCAGATGATCCATCCGCCTTGGCCTACCAAAGTGCTGGGATTACAGGTGTGAGCCACCATGCCCGGCTATTTGGATATTTTGTTGGTTAATCTTGCTAATGGTCCATCAATTTATCTTTTCAAAGAATCAGCTTTCTGTTTCATTTTTTTGTATTTTTATTTTGTTTGTCTCAGTTTTATTTAGTTTTGGTCTTATCTTGGTTATGTTTTTTCTCCTGCTGTGTTTGGGTTTGGTTTGTTCTTGATTATCTGGTTCATTGAGGGGCAGCCTTATATTGTCTATTGATTCTCTTTCAGATTTTTTGATGTAGGCATTTAGTGCTATGAACTTTTCTCTTAGCACTGCCTTTGCTGCATCTCAGAGGTTTTGATCAGTTTTGTCAGTATTATTTTTTAATTCAAATAATTTTTAAATTTTCATCTTGATTTCAGGCAGGTTATTTCATTTCCATGTGTTTTCATGATTGTAAATGTTCATTCTGGAGTTGATTTCCAGTTTTACTCCACTGTGGTCTGAGAGACTATTTTATACAATTTTGACTTTCTAAAATTTATTTGAGACTTGTGTTGTGGCCTCTAATATGTTTTGTTCTGGAGATTGTTCCATGTGCTGATGAATAAAATGTATATTTTGCAGTTTTGGGGTAAAATGCTCTGTAAATAGCTATTAACTCCATTTGTTTTAGTTTCAGTCCATTATTACTTGGTTGATTTTCTGACCTGATGACCTGTCTAATGCTGTTGGTGAAATATTGAAGTCCCCCATTATTATTGTGTTGTTGTCTATCTCATGTCTTAGGACTAGTTATAATTGTTTTATAAATTTAGGACCTCCAGTGTTAGGTGTATATATATTTAGAATTGGGACATTTTTCTGTTGGACAAATCCTTTCATTATTATATAATGTCCATCTATCTTTTTTCACTGCTGTTACTTTAAAGTTTGCTTTGTCTGATATAAGAATAGCTACTCTTGCTCTCTTTTGGTGTCCATTTGGATGGAATATAGTTTTTCCACCCCTTTACCTTAATTTTATGTAAGTCCTTGTGTGTTAGGTGAATCTCTTGAAGCCAGCATATACTTGGTTTGTGAATTATTGTGGTTGTTCTATTCATTATCTTAAACATGGAGCATTTATTCTATTTATATTTGATGCTACTTTGAGGTGTGAGGTTCTATTCTTTTCATCATGCTGTTTCTTGTCTGAATTCCTTTTTTTTTTCTTTTTATTATGTTATTGATTTATAAGTCCCATGAGATTTATGCCTTAAAGGTTCTATTTTGGTGTATTTTGAAGATTTATTTCAAGATTTAGAGCTTTTTAAGCAGTTCTTATCATACTAGATTGGTAGTGGCAAATTCTCTTAGCATTTGTTTGTCTGAAAAGACTATCTTTCCTTCATTTATGAAGCTTAGTTTTACTGGATACAAAAATCTTGGTTGATAATTATTTTGTTTAAGCAGGCTAAAGATAAGACTACAATCCTTCTGGCTTGTAGGATTTCTGCTGAGATATCTGCTGTTAATCTAATAGGTTTAATCTGCTGTTAATCTTTATAGGTTATCTGATGCTTTTGTCTCACAGTGCCTAAGATCCTTTCCTTTGTCTTGACTTTAGATAACCTGATGACTGTGTGCCTAAGTGATAATCTTTTTGCAATAAATTTCTGAGGCTCAATAAATTTTTGAGCTCCTTGTATTTGAATATCTAGAT